ATTCCAGTGCTCAGTGGAAGGATAATTACACCATCAAGCAGTGACCCAATGGCCCTTGTAGCTGTCTAAAATGGAGAGATTGTAAGTTGGCCATGAAAATTACACTTTTTTCTCTTTTGCTTTGACTTTGTGAGGTGGTTTTGTCACAATTTGAACGGACACGCGTCACTCCTACGTAATGTTTTAACGGGAAACCAAACAGCATCATTTTATTTCCAAGTAGGTATATATTCAGCCGTTCTTAGCCACCATTTTGCGAGAACAAAGTATATGTATATATTAAGAGTGGGACAAAAAAAAACAGTTTACTTGTAAAAACCTTTGTGTTTTTTATATCTTTACATACTTATAAAAAATTGTACAGGGAAAATGAAAATGAAGAAAAAGAAAATGTGTCCTGCATAGCAGTCTTTCAAATTTCCTTTTAGCCGACAGGGAGTCGTCAGAGGCATGGGGCGAAGGCAACCCAAAAAATTAGGAGCGGGAGGAGGAGCTTATTTAGCCGGCCTTTTGCATGTATTTGAATATAAAATGTAATAAGCGCGGTACACCAAAAAATCGGTTTACTTATAAAACTCTTTGTCGTTGTCATATGAAAAAAAAAGTACAGGAAAATTGGAAATGAAAAGAATGGGGTTTAGTGATAAAATGTCACATCAAATCAAGGAATCGAATGAGTAGAAACTAACATAGTTCACTTGACAATTGTATGTCAGTCTTATAAGTGGAAAACGCTAAAAATTGTACATTGCTAGTTTTATTAACACCTTACCTAAATGACATTGGTTACTGTTACGGAAAATCATATTTTAGAGTCAGCTTTGTGTAAAGCTATGATTTTGCAAACCAGTTCTTGGGAACAGCAAAATGATTTAGAACAAACCTTCTAAGTATAGTGTTCATTCCGTGCAATAACGCATAAATAAAAGGTTCTTGAAGAAAAGACACCTTATTTTATACCACTGAGGTCAAGCAAAAAAGTCATATGGGTACCTCGGTTAAAAATATTTAAATAACTCTATTAATTAATGCCAGTTCTAATTTAAAGGAAAAAGTTATGAGAATAAAATAAAAGTTGTCTGTACCACGAAGCATGCCTTCACTGTTTAGACTGAGAGACCTAAAGCTTTTTTAGCGTGTATTCGAATATCTTATTACGATAAGTCGCCACCCACACCACTCCGCGGCGTACTGTTTTCAGTCAGCAGCTGGTCAGCGGTCACCTTTATGAGGTAAACCTGGCGATCACCTCCGGATCACCGTTCTTGTCGATCAGAAAATCAAAATACCAGCGTGATATGGCCTCGAAGATGACGCAGTTATGTTGTTTGATTCGTACTTCACATTCGAGTCGAAGCTTGGGTGGCTGACAGGTTATTTCTTACGGTGGAATCGACAAGGGAAATTCGAACACTAGTGATCACTAGTTGTAGTGTTTGAATTGTTGGAAGAAATGGTCGCATGGGGATGTAGGAATGGTAGGTTTAACGAACAATTTCAAATTTTGCCCCTTGAATTGAACGTGAAGTTCATTTAAATGCTTTCGTACGTATTTCTGACTGTTTTAGATCTACCTGCTCGATTTATATCTGCTACGCTTCATGTTGACAAGTACCTCAAAATGGCGGCAAAACTTTTGGAGATTGCCGAAAATTAGGTAAGTTCACGGAGTTATAAAGTTTTAGTAAAGGTCGGGCCGCAAAGTTTTTTCTGTAGTTACCTTTTCTATGGCACCTACTTCCTAGCTATATTAGTTGGATCAGTTAAGAACGCCTCACTTTTTCAAAAATGTACCTTGAATTTGATCGGTTTTCGCGTGTGTGACTTAAGCGAACCGATAAGGTGTCGTTCAAGTCTTCCTGTTTGCTTGATTGAAACGTGATGTTCACGAAAGTCGCCTCGATGGATCAGATAGAGTTAATATACATGGCTGTGGTATTTGTTTTTTGCTGAGTCCCGTAGTTTGTTGTAAATTGTCCGGCAAAGTTGCCTCAAATTAACGTCTTGAAAAGTGTCACGACAGGCCTTCGGTGGAGTGAAATTTAATTTCCGTAAAACTCTGAAAAATAAAGAGATCTGATCAAACGGATTGTGGTTTTAGTATAGGTACATGAATGTCTTACAACACACGAGAAATGAGCTAAATCTATGTCTCAAGGAAAATCGACCGGACCGCTCTTACAGAGACACTCTCTTAAAAAGGCCTATCGAAAAAGGCCAATATTCAATTATACGCTCTAGGTGCTTATTCGAGGTGGGTGCTTGTTTCAGTCTGGACATTAATTAAAATTTTGTCATTTTCAGCAAGTAGTAAGCTTATTTACCAACAAAACAGTAAATAATGCCAAAATTTGTGCGAGGACAGAATGTATAATGTCTCAAGAACTTTTAGACGAGAAACAGTTGTGGCATTAAACATATACTACCTGATACCTCTCATTTAACCAAACAAATATGGTACATTTTACATTTCTGTGTCGCTGTATTTATTACTATAAGAGAGGGAATAAAAACAACTACAACATTGAAAGCTTTACGTTGAATGAACAAAAACTGTTATTTATATGGTTACATGTCAAATGACTTTGTCTCTTGTTCATATTTATGATTTTGTAGCATTCACACAAGCGAATTTTGTGATGACTCAGCTGATAGACTACAGTCCTCTGCATATTTGTTTTACTTATTGACTTTATCACTACTTATTGTTCATCAGGTCATCCAAAAGATTATGTCTTCCCTTGAAATAAAAGAGTTTACCGGTGATCTGTGCTGAATGTTTTGCTGTGATGTCCAACTCCATTTGCGCAACTTGGCTTGACCCAGCAACAAAATTGTACAATGTTACAATATTTTGGGACACACCATGCAAGTCTGAGATTTCAATAACTTCATAAACAACAAGCAACAACAGTGTTTCCAGATCACTCCAGCGACCTGCTGTGACATCAGACCCCTGGGAAATCAGGTATTTTGTGCCACCTTTCCTGTTGTATGGGTAAGGATCAGATCTTTTCCTCGTTGGGCCGGCTGAAACAACATTCCTCTTGCTTGTTTCATTATGTGGGTTGCGACAGTCTAAACACTGGTAATCTATGCCGCAACTTATCCCTGATTTTAAGCAGAGACATTTTGCTTTTCTTTCTCCAGGACAATCACAGCAAGAGGGTCTGTTGCTTTCACCTTTTTCCCTTCCCCTTCCACATCGACAGCATTCATGTAATGACAATGGAGTCACCTTGGAGTTGGTATTGAGAGGGTTACAACAGTTGTAACACGGGCAAAATCTCGAGCACATACTACCACAAGAGAGGCAGGAACATTGTTGGGATGAATTAGCAGCTATGCAGGATTGGAAATTTACTAGGTTCTTCATTTTTTTTTTTACGGCATCGACACTACTTTTTGTTCTCGCCACTTACAACAGATGGGACAATATCTGTTGGTGTGAAAAAAATTGATAATAACAAAATGAAAAACTTTCTTTACCAAGCAGAAACTAACTATACAAAGTACTCATGCGCAGCAAACTATACATAATAACAATATTATTATTATTATTGGCAATCTTGGCTCCCCAAGACAGGGTTAAATGTAAAATGTAAATGTTAAATGTTAGGTACTAACACTACATTTTTCCCTTTGTCTCAACTTCATTAGCATACATTAGCATACATTACCATACCTGTGCCAAAAATAAAAGAAAAATAAAAATTACCTTAGATACAAAAAAAACTACAACATAGACACTCTTTTTTCCCAATAATGTTTTTAATGCACCTTATTTACCCCCCAAATTTTGCATAACCTTTGTTCTTCATTTCTTCTGGGTATTACAGCCGTCCCAACAGAAATTTAAAACAATGCTTAATATGCAAAATTTGGGGGGCAAATAATATTGGAAATGTGGAAGTGGTATACATTCTCATTTTTCTGACAATATCATTTAAGGGTGAAAATATTCCTATATAATATTCTTAGATTATAGACTTTTCCTTTCTATTCTTGTATTGGAAAATAAACCATTAAGGGAAAGGGATAATTTTATACGGTTATGTAAGTTCCACGCAGTCAAAATCTCAGCCTTATCTTTTCCTGTATCATGTTCTTAAGGGATCAGTCATTATTTACCACCTCGAGGATCAAAGGATTTGGGGCTAAACAAGGTGAAATTGAACTGATCCCCCTTTGAATGTTACTTCACTGAAGTAATCCTCCCTAATAGCTTTTGATAACTTTCGTGATCCCCCCCATGTCTTTGGTTCTCAGTTACAACTGATCCCCCCTTTTGTTCTCCTAAAAATCAAGTGATACCCCAAAATCCATCGACACCCCCGCCCCCCCGGCGATAAATAGTGACTGGTCCCCAACATTTTAAAAATTTCAGCCTCAAGTAATTTATTCTTATAAAATGTTTTATTACATATGTTGTGGTTCAAATCTTTCATTGGTCTAAACTCTATTTTCCTTTGTTTTAAGGTAATGATAATGTATGATTCTAGTGAGTTTAAAACAATTGAAAAGACAATATTCACCAAAGATAAAATTGAACCACAACAGATATACTCATTCTTAGCGGAAGTCCAAATGAATCCATGCCAAGCATGGGTAACAACAGCCTGGAGATTAGGATTGCGGGCTCCTTTTGTCACCTGCAAAAAAGAGTGTACCAAAATAACTGGCTTAATGAATTTCCTTCGTTTTTACCTGTCGTGGTATCATAATGCCCAGGAAGTGAATGATTGAATGCTACATAAAGAGGATGAGTAGAAGACATCTTAGGTAGTATGAAGGATTGATATGGGGTTTCTGACATAAATACGTAGACCACCCTACCGCATTGTTATTTGTGTATCACGTGACGAGCAATAAACGCCTTTGTAACAAAGTCAGCCATTTTACTGTGTGTTTATCTTACATGGTGTCAGAGTACAGCGAAAATCCATGCCAAACAAAGCCATCGTTCGTAAAAAATCACTGTTCAAAAACCAAGAGCTAAGATGCCGAAATACAAGAGTCCAGAGATGGTTTGGACATCACAAGATCTATCCCACGAGTGGCGTCGCTTCTACAGACAAGCAAGTTGTATCTTAGACGGCCTCTTACATGATAAGGAGGAGAACGTCAAGGTTAGCTACTTGAAGATGTGGGTTGGAGACAAAGGCCAAGACGTCTTCGAAGGATTTCAATTCGCGAAGCCCGAACATGCAGCAAAATTAGCCGTTGTAGTGAAAAAGTACAAAGAGTACTGTTCTCTGCGCGAAAACCACATCATGGCCGCTTTGAAGTTCAATGAACGCCGACAAGCTGAGGGTGAGAGTTTTGACTCTTTTGTAACGGATCTTAAGATTCTAGGGAAGGACTGTGGCTACCAAGAGGAAGAAAGAATTGTTTGTGATGCAATTGTGTTTCGTTGTAAGCACAGCAAAGTTCGTGAAAAGTGCCTCGATTGAGCTGATGAGTTGACTCTCGAGAAAGCTGTGAAAATTGGTCGCACCCATGAAACGAATCTAGACAGCCTAAAGAAGCTCGCCAAAGACGAAGACCCGACTGTGAATATTGTAGAAAAACGCCAAACTCAGAGTTGTCGCAAGCATTCAAAGCAAGACGCCGAAAAGCAAGCTTCGGAAGAGAAAGAAAAACGGATTGCACAAAAGGTGAGTGTGGGTACGATAAAACCCACTGAAAATGCCCAGCAATGGGCCAATAATGCAGTTTCTACGAAAAGATGAATCATTATTCTAAGCTCTGTAGATCAAGACAAGTGCATCACCTACGGGAAGATGATTCACAAAATAGACTGTGGAGATGAGTCATCCCTCTTTATGTACGCGGTTGAATCAAACAGTCTAGCTGAGGATGAACAATTTCACAAAACTGTCGAGTTAGAGGGCACTCAAGTGAAGTTCCAGCTCGATAGTGATGCAAAAGCAAATGTTATTTCTCTCAAGACCTACAGCAGCCTCAAGTGTAGACCCTTACCGGCCCTGAGAAAGACCAGAACTGTACTGGTTTCGTTTTCAGCACAAGCTGAAACCTAGAGGAGAAGTAGCATTGACCACTAGATACAAAGATCAAGTGGAAAACGTCAAATTCTTTGTTGTGGATACTGAAGTGGAATCGGTGCTTATTGGAAACTCGTGTCTTAAGCTTGGTCTGCTGAAAAGAGTTTATCAGTTAACAGGTCAAGAGCTACCAGCCAAGCAAGTGGAGCTCGAGGACTATCCAGAATTGTTCACTGGATTAGGATGTTTGCCCGGTACGTATCACATAGAGCTAGCAGAAGGAGCTGTGCCTGTAGTCCATGTTCCAAGGAAGGTACCCGTGCCACAGAGAACAAAAGTTGTCGAGGAACTAAAAAGGATGGAAAAGCTGGGAGTAATAGTGCGCCAGGAGGCACCGACTGAATGGGTCAACTCACTTCTTGTAGTACAGAAGCCTACTGGTGCAGTGAGACTGTGTATTGATCCAAGGGACCTAAATCTTGCCATAAAGAGACCCCATTACCCCATGAAGACTATTGATGAAGTGGCAAGTCGTCTTCAAGGTGCCAAAATTGTCAGCATCCTAGATGCCACAAGTGGTTTCTGGCAGCTAAAGTTAGATGACCAGTCTTCACGTCTGTGTGCATTCAACACTCCCATTGGACGGTACAGATTTACAAGGCTACCCTTCAGAGTGAAATGCGCCCCTGAAATATTCCAAAGGACCATGGATCGAATTGTTGAAGATTTGGAGGGTGTGGAGGTCATAATGGATGATGCATTTGTGGCGGGCGATGAGACAACACATGACGAACGGTTGCAGAAATTCCTCGACAGAGCAGCAAAGCAAGGTTTAAAGCTTAACAAAGAGAACTGCAAGATTCGTCAGACGCAAGTCCCCCATGTAGGATATTTGCTAACTTCAGAAGGCTTAAAGATTGATCCCCAAAAGGTAAAGGCAGTTCAAGAAATGCCTGCGCCGCAACCCAGGAAGATGTGAAATACGTTCTTGGATTTGTACAATTCCTGAGTCGATACCTGCCCAGTTTGTCCACTGTGGATGCTCCGCTGAGAGAGTTGGAGAAAGCAGACATGTTGTTTCACTGGGACCCCCCACAGAAAGAAGGCTTTGTGAAGATCAAGAAGCTTGTATCCGAAGCACCAGCGTTGCAATATTATAATGTCTCGAAACCAGCAAAGATCAAGTGCGATGCAAGCGGGAAAGGCCTGGGCGCAGTGCTATTGCTGGACGACAAACCCATGTGTTACGCCTCTGGAGCGCTTACCAGTGCGGAGTCAAGGTGCGCACCCATTGAAGCTGAAATGCTGGCAGTCGTCTTCGCCTGCCGTAAGTTCCACCAATACATCTATGGCAAAAGTGTTGTTGTAGCAACAGACCACAAGCCTTAACAAGCAATCAGTACCAAACCACTCTCACAAGCTCCGCTGAGGTTGCAGGGAATGCTGCTTACTTTGCGAAGCTATGATGTTGAGATTCGCTACATTCCTGGTTGTAAACAAGTCCTTGCAGACACACTGAGCCGAGCAGCTGTTGCAACTGGTGACAGTGAAGCTTATGAAGAATTCCAGGAAATCAACATGGTCCTGTCAGTATCAGAGGAGTGGGATGAAGAGTTCCAGAAAGAGACCAAAGTAGACCCAGAGCTACAAGCAGTCCTAACCATGGTGAGAAATGAATGGCCAGACACAAAGTAGCAAGTTCCTTTGGAGGCCAGACCCTACTGGACATTCCATGACGAAGTCGCAACAGCTGATGGACTCCTCTTTAGAGGGACACGCTTGATTGCCCCAAAGGTTGTGAGGCCTGAAATGCTTCGCCAGATCCAGAAGAGTCACCTAGGAATAGCCAAATGCAGACGAAGAGCTAAAGAGGTACTATTTTGGCCTGGAATGTCCCTGGATGTGAAGCAAATGGTCACCAATTGTAGTGTGTGTGCAGATTTTGCAATAGATTTTGTAATATCGGGCTTTACTTGACTATCGGACAAAGCCAATACCAGACATCGAATTGTCACCAGCACAGTTGCTGATGGGACGTCGCCTGAGAAACGGATTACCAATGATGGACAGCTTGCTTCAACCTGCTAGTGTCAACCAAAACGATGTCTCCAAGTATCTGAAGAAGATGAAAGAGGATCAGAAGAAGCACCATGACCGACATGCTAGCAGCGAATTGAAGGAACTACAGCCGGGAATGACAGTGCGAATGCAGCCCTGGACCGACTTCAGAGAGTGGAAACCAGCAACAGTAGTCAGACATCATCACACACCAAGGTCCTATGTGGTTCAAGCAGATGATGGCAGAAACTATCGTCGCAACAGGCAGCATCTGCGAGTTTGCCCAGCCCCAGAACCTAGAAGTTTAAATGCAGAGCGGTCTCTTGACGGTAGTGCACACCACAACTTGCCCAAGGACCAGACTAAGCAGCCAGCCCCACCAGTCTCACCTGTAATTCCACCTCCGTGGCAACACCACAACCCTGAACCACCTGGGGGGGGGGGACAGTTCAGAGGCTTATGTTACCCGAAATGGCAGACAAGTACTCAAACCAAAACGGTTGGACCTCTAGACACAATCAGAGACTAAAAACTTTTTTTTCTATTTAGCTTTTTTTTTCATTTGAAATCCAAGCACTGAGACATTATTATTATTATTATTATTATTATTTTCTTTTTAAAAGGGAAAGGATGTGACATAAATACGTAGACCACCCTAGCGCGTCATTATTTGTGTATAACGTGACGAGCAATAAAGCATCTTTGTAACAAAGTCAGCCATTTTACTGTATGTTTATCTTACAGGGCTTGTGGATACGAGGTTATAACAATGATGGGTATCTGCAAAATGTTGCTGCATACTTTGACTGCAATATCACTAGCATCACTGTTAAACCATCCTGTTGCCTAAATAAATTTAGATCACTAGAAAGCTGCTCTGTAGTTAGACCCAACCACTGTTGATATTCTTCAGATTTAGTTGAAATCTCTTGACACATGAGGAGTCTTAAATGCAAGGTGTCTTTATCTTCTTTAATTCCAAGGCCAAGACTTTTGATAAACCCAATGCACCTAGATATGTCGTCATAATGATCATTTTCTGAGTTTCCAAGAAACCTATGATGAAAACACTTAATTAAAATACGAAAACAGCAGTTTCCATCCCCAGCTACAGGTATCTTGCAGAGTCTAAAGGAAGACAAATTACGTTCGAGCGTTTCACGGTTACAGCCAGCAGTAGTTTCCTCTTCTACAGTCTGCTGTTTTGAAAGCTTCATGAAGCTTCTTTCTAGTCCAAACAAGTCAAGCATTGAAAGAAAGGTGAGCGATGTCTGTTCTTTTAGGAAAGTCCAACAATTCCTCATTTGAAGAACACGAGTTAAGGCATAATTTATGACACTGACGTTCATCAAATGTTTCACATTTTCAACATGATGGTGTAAATACCATGATATTTTGTCACTGCTCTCTTCCTCCTTAGCTACACTTCTTTCATCCTGCCCTTTGTCAGAGCATTTTAATAGCAAGGAGTCAGTGGAACTTCTTTCAATGAGATCTCCAAATTCAAATGGAATAATTGGAACAACTGTTTGATTGTTAACATGTTTCTGCAATCCTCTACGCCTACAGCTCCAGACATAAAGCACTAGAGCTAGGATGGGCGAGGCAAGGTCAGGGCAAATGGAGGATGCACCACATAACATTGATCGTTTAAGATGCCTATGAAGGCGTTCATGTAAAGTGGTTTCTGCAGAAGGAGGTATCTCTGATATGCAACCTTTTCGCACATGATGTCTCAAATTTTCAATCGCACTGACAGTAGCTACAGACAGTTTGCCCCTCCATTTGAAAAGTAGTTGCACCATGTTGCTTTCAATGTAATGAGGATCCGGAGTAGTGAACATTCTCTCCTCCCCAATGTCGCCATCTCTGTGGAACAGAAGTCCCACCTCTTTAGCAAACTTTTGGCTTTCAACTGTTCCTTTGGGAAGAGTTTTGACGATTCTCTGAACAGCATGAAATATATCCAACTTGACTGGCACAAGTGGAAAGTAACATTGGTAGAAATTTCTTACACGGCAGCAATCATCCACTAGAATCATATCCAATTTATCACCTGAAATAGAAAACCTCTCTTTAAATCGAGAATTCTGTGATTAATTTGCTTTAATTCCGTTGAAGTTGTTAGTTTCCAGGTTATAACTTCACCATTTTCATTCAGTGCAACGTACAAATTTTGAAACTGGTTGACAAACGCAGACTCAGAATCTTGAATAATCCCCATGTGCTCGCTAACTTTGAAGGTGTGATCACAAGATAAGATGCGACAGCGTGTAGCCAAAAAGAAATTGGTAATCAATGCTTTAATCTGTTCGTAATAAGAGAGAAATATCTGCATCAGTTTGTCATTTCCCGGACTTGATTACAATGGACTATCATAAAAAGAGGCTGTCGGGATATTCCCATTTATGTGATAAAATGCACAGTAGTTCATGGCAAGGATGGATTCCCTTATATCGAGGAAGCTGTGCCCCATAGTCAGCAATGTTATTACGTAATCGAGTAGGCGATTTGAGCAAGCAGCTCTGCGCGACATTCTGAAACTAAAGGAATCCTTTATTTGACCTGGCAACAAGTCCAAAATGTCCTTAGAGGCAGAAAAGAACTGGTCGCCACGAGGGCAAACATAAGAAGCATGTATTAAAATAATGTTCCCCTCCAAAACATATACAAGACACGGATTAAACTTACTGTTTTTTACCACATGACGTCCATCTGTTAAATGTCAACACACAACGATCAATGGGACAAACCACCTTGAGACCATTATGCTGCATAGGGCACCAAATGAAGACTTTTGGAATAAGCCACGGATTTTCTAGGCAAGTGCTGACGACAAAATCATAATGATAATAACACGAATGGGTAGAGTACTCTTCTAAGAGCTTATCAACTAGCTTTTGCTCCTCTTCTGAGAATCAAATTCCTCTCCCAAGAGAAAAAAAGGAACACAGAACCAACAGAAGGAAGCGGTAGGATGATGCATCCATTGTGACACACCCAACAACTCTTCTACAAACTTCCCTGAGGAGGAGCATTGCGTGACGAGCCAAACAAGGTTGCACGATTGGACAAGTAGGGTAGTGCACGAATGATGTCTAAATGACTAATTTGCAATTTTTGTCTGAGTTTTGTCATCTTTCTCATTTTACATTACATTTTATGACAAAAGTCAAATTTCAGTTTCTTTGTCTGAGTTATGAGTCTACAAATAGTAGCTGCGTGCAGCGCTATTTTTGACGTCATTTAATGGCGATGATGGTCTTCAAAACACACAAAATGGCGGACAATGGCGAAGAAGACTGGTCAATGCTTAAATTGTCATCGTTTGAATAGCTTCGGAAGTGCTTTTGAAAAAGCCGTAGGAACATCTTCGGACATTTTTGGTTACCTTCGGAAGTCTTCGGAAAATCGTCGGAAGTTTTCGGAAATCCTGGTCATGGCAAGACGGAAATTTCACGCATTTGGTTGGCACGTATATGACTGTATTTTTATTATTATTACATGTTTTATCAATTCATGTTTTATTACTCCATGTCAAGAGCCATAATGGTCGTATTATGATCTCTTGCCCATATTTTATCAAATCATGTTTTAATTTAAAATTCATGTTTTATCAATCCATGTTTTATTTATCCAGTCAATGTTTTACCCTATAGTCCAATATATGTTTTATCATTTAAAACTATAGGCAAATTAGGCACCGGAAGTCACATTTACCACTTCCAACGCACTTTCCCATTGTCGACTGTTCTGTTTTCAACGCCAGGGCAGCTACGCGGACACGTCTGCAGACTACTACGCTCCTGCCTAAGTTTTCAAGGAGTTAAATTTTGCGGAAAGTCTCACAAACCAGATTAAAAATTGCTGCTACAATTCTGTCGCTGACAACAGTTTACAAACAAAAATTGTCTTTGGATTGTTAGTGCGGTCTTAATGAATAGTTTCCTCTTGCAAATGTGTCATTTCCGGTTAGTCAATTGGTTATGCAATCTCTGGGTTTTGTAACGACCAGACAAGTATTAGTTCTGAACGATTCTACCGTCTAAACATAGTTTGCACAAAGCTATTTTACCGCATTTTCTTGTAAAGAATGAAGTCTTAGCCTGCGATCAAGCTCGCTGGAGAGCATCCAGGAGAGCTTGCTCGGCTAATGAAGTAGTCACGTGTGTCCATGTGGGCTAGATTTTGGGAGTAGGACAATATGATACTTTTTCCGGCTTTGTTTTTGTTGATATATGTTATATATCTCACAACCACTGAAATGTCACATATCTCGAATTAACCAATCATTTTCCTTTTTGGTGAGCATCCCGCTGCATGTGAGAATAAACTCGAGGCTTTCTGTCAGTGTTCTGTAAGCCACGACGCTACTGGTAGCCTGACTTTTTTTCTCTGGAAATGGCCGAGAACAGTGCCAGCCAAGGCTCTTCACAAGGGAGAAAAGAACCAGATCCAGACTTGGGATTAGCGGAGAAAGATGGGGCGATCGGTATTTACAAGAACAGCATCTTTCAGCCAATGACCAACTTTCATATAGCTTGTAAAGGCTTTGTTCCAATAGCAGTGCTGTCGAAGGGTACCTCATTAACATAATTCCAGCGCACTGTCAATGCCTTGATGGTATTAAAGCAAATTCTGAAAGGTATGTCAACTCCAAATGCAATTAGTAATTTGTGGTTCGTGTTAACGTTGTGCTTGTGTACTTTATTCAGCTTTATTCCATTCACATAAGTCATAACACATATAGTATCTTCAATTTCATCCTTCAGCTCTACCCATTACTTGACATCGTGGGAGATGTCTTCCCAGCAAGAAATTTTGAGAAAAATACCTGGCAAAGGGATCTGGACAGCACCAAGCTGCGACCAGTACCTCCCCGCTTATTTCAAGGATGTCTGTGACCAATATCTTCCCCAACCTAATGCAGAAGAACTCAAACCAGTTAAGGTATCTGCTGTATTAGCTTCATGTTTTGTGGCCAAAACGACTGGAGACCACATATGTAAAACAAAACCCACACGGGCAGACAGCGGACAATCTGTGAGCCAGCTAGTCATGTAATTCGCTGGCATGGGAATAAGTTTTTATGAAATTTCAAACCTCTTCACTCAATGCTTCCTGGTTAGTTCTCTTGGTTATGTTAGGTTTTGATGTTTGAATTTTTGCAGAATTAGGGAGTCAAATTTCATTGATTAGGGTTAAAAGATCATTTTACGGATAAGATGGGGGCTGGGCTAAAACCAGTTGCAAAAATGATGAGACACTCCCACGGAAAAACGACCTTTCTTGTTTCAAATCGCTCCTGGTCACAGGTCTGTAAAATATAATACTGACCTCCCTCCTCCCTCCCATTCAAAGTTGTTCCTCCAAGTTTTGAGTATGGTCTTGTATTGCTAGCAACTTTGATAAGGGGTGGAGGGGGGATCACAAGCACAAGATCATGGACAGGCCATTTATGCCAAAATACGGTACAGTGTCTCAAGTACTTTTGCAACTGGTTGTAGCTTATTTTCATGATGCCGCCATGACCATATTTGCTGTTGGTGAATCGTGATGTGCTGAAAAACTGTTTTGTGAATCGTGAGTGAAGTGCACTCCGTAAAACCTCAACAGCCAAAATCCTCCTACGTATACACATACAGTAAGACCAGTCGAAGAAAATAAATCGTTCACTTGGCCCAACGACCTGAGTAGCATGTGGCTTGACTTGACTTTGCGAGTGTTTCGGTCTCACTTCACACTTAAGTGCATACCCATTTGCCGGTTTTCACCGTCATACCATCGAACACTAAAATCAAACCCGTGGAATGTATGAAGCCAAGAATTTCAGATATTATAGAATATCAAGAAATTAACAACCTGGCCAAGTCTTGCGCCTGTGCAGTTTCCACTGGTGAGCTGTTCTTCAAAATGTGTACCAGGTATTTATATAGGGCTCACGACGGGGACGCCTGAAATAATGCAAACATCTGGTTTCAGTATCGCCACAATTAGATCAGTTGTTCACTGCGAACGAGCAAATTATTCTCTTAAACACATTTTCTAATACTTTCACCATTCAAAGGGCATAATATCATACGATAAACTTATTTTTCAGAATACCGTATGTGACAGCCTTCTTGGTCGCCATATTAATGTCACGCGGAGAAGACTTGGGAAACTAGAAGGAGCTATATTTTCAAAACGGAAAACGCTATCACGTTGAAAACTTTCACAGAAGTTAATTTTTATGAGATATTTGGCTACATGGAGATAAAACCTTAAAAGTCCTCGCTGTAATGATCAGCGGTATTTTGTATGAGTGTAAGCGTGCGCATGGACAACCGGGGTCAGCCATGTTGGAATAAAAAACTTGGATCCTGTTTACTAAGCTGTTTTATCCAGAGCCATCGTGCTATCAGATAAAGAACATTACATGGTGTCAGAAGTCAAGTACGAACAAGAACCTCAGCCATCGATATAGCGAAGATTTGAATAAGATACAGGCCGTATTTCAGAGCAATCAACATCGGCGATCGTAATTCATGTCACAGGATCCGTCGATTCCTATCACGTCCGCGGGGGAAGAAAACACTGAAGAAGTACAGCATTCACAAGTTGAAGACGAAGAAAACACAGAGGAAATACAGCAACCAGTTGAAGACGAAGAAAATATACCTGAAATGGCGATGCATTTAGGTCTTCCACCTCCAGAAGCTCTCGACTTGAGTGGAGGAAACATATCAGCCAATTGGAAGAAGTTCAAACAGAAATATACAAATTACGAAATTGCGACCGGAATAAGTTCGAAGGATAGTGCAACCAGAGTAGCAACACTTTTAACAGTTATCGGCAACGATGCTATTGATGTTTTTGACACTCTAACTTGGGACGAAGAAGACATTGACAAAAAAATCGAAAAGGTGCTGTTGAAATTTGAGGAACACTGTGAACCCAAGAAAAATGTCAGCTACGAGAGATACAAATTCTTCTCAAGAGCCCAAGAAAGCGGCGAAAGCATCAACCAGTAGGTAACAATATTAAGAAAGCTTTGTGAAAC